CCGTTTCCAAATAATAACAATAGCAGGCTGGGCTCAGTGGCTTATGCCAATAATTCCACTGCTTTGAGAGGGTGACTCAGGAGAACTGGTTGAGGCAAAGAGTTTTAGACTAATCTAGGCAAAACAGTGCAACCCTGTTTCTATTAAAAAAGAAAAGGGATTACAACATCAACTCTCCTGAGTCTCCAGCCTGCCAACTGGAGATCTCAGGACTTCTCAGCCACCATAACTGCATAAACCAGTTCCTTATATTACATTTTTTCTGCTTTCATGTGGTGATACAGGTAAAATAAAAAATAGCAGTTGGCAGCAGTAAATATTTCTGTATTGGAGAGTCATGATACTGAAATTGGTTTAGGAAGAAAGGCAAGAGGATGGTTGGGGAGAGCACGTCTGAACCAACTATAAAATTTCAATGTCAGGTGATAATGGGTGACAGTACTGAGAAAGATATAAATCGGAAAGTTCAAGCTAGAAGTCAAGTTTCTTTAACAAGATTCATTTTAGACATACTGACTGAAATGATAAATATCAAAATGGTTAACTGGAGATGTGGGACTGGCACTCAGGAGAGTTGAGAGCTTGATAAATATTTGGGTGTCAACATTCAACATATGGATGACACGGGTATGAAGAAAGAAGGAAAGGACACACACACACACACACACACACACACACACACACACACACACACACACACACACACACACACACACAGTCTATCCATCTGTCCCTAGCAAAGGAAACAGAAGTAAAGAGTCAAAGAGGTAGGAGGTTATCTAGGAGTACAACCCACGAAAGCTGAAACGATACAGGAGAAAAATTAAAGCACAGTGTGGTATGGGTAAACAGCAGACTGTATGGGGTTACTGAAAGGATAGGAAGGAAAAAGTGGCCCACAAAGAAACAAAAGTAGAGAGAAATAGGCTGGTAGCTAAAGTAGCAACAATAGCCAAAAAAAGGGTAATTTCAAACTTGGAAGTCTTATGTGCAAAGATTCCTATGTGAAGATAGAAGTCAGAGCAAAAAGAGCTTGAAGATGAAAGAAAGGTAATAAGGAGTTGATCGTAGGGTGTAGAAAAATAAAACTAGTCAGAACATTTATGGAACACTTATCAGGTGCCAGTCACTCTGTGAGGCACTTTATCTGCATGACCTCATTTTATTCTTTCATCAACTCTCCCACGTTACAGAAGAGAAAACTGAATTGTAGATCACAAATTGAGAAAGCAGAAGAGGGAGGAACTGGGTTCAAGTTTGATATCCAATTGTTGCTATAAACGTCTATGCAAAACTTTTAAAGCAAGTTTGTTGACTACATCATCAAGGAGAAAAATTTTAGTAAGACTATACATAGGCAATTTAAGATAAGAAAGAAGGTAGTTCTACCTCCTCTACTTATTAAAAAAGCAAAGTGGCCAGGCATGGTAGCTCACGTCTATAATCTCAGCACTTTGAGAAGTCAAGGCAGAAGGATTGCTTGAGGCCAGGAGTTCGAGACCAGCCTGGGTAACAGCAAAAATCCATCTTCACAAAAAGTAAAAAAAAAAAAAAAAAATTATCCAGGTATGGTGGAAATGCCTGTAGTCCCAGCTACTCGGGAGGTTAAGGCAAGAGGATTGCTGAAGTCCAGCAGTTTGACACTGAAGTGAGCTATGATTGCATCACTGCACTCCAGCCTGGGCTACAGAGTGAGACATTGGAAAAAGAAAAAAGAAAAAGCTGGGCGCAGTGGCTCACGGCTGTAATCCCAGCACTCTGGGAGGTGGAGGCGAGAGGATTACCTGAGTCCAGGGGTTCAAGAACAGCTTGGGCAACTTGGTGAGACCTCATCTCTACAATAAATAAAAAAGTAGCCAGGCATGGTGGCACATGCCTGTGCTTCCAGCTACTTGAAAGGTTGAAGCAGAAGGATTGTCTGAGTCCAGCAGGTTGACACGGTGGTAGCTGTGAGCATGCCACTGCACTCTAGCCTGGGCGACAGAGTAAGACTCTGACTCAAAAAAATAAAAATAAATTCAATAAATTTTTTTAAAAGCCCAAAATATGAAATATTTGAGATAAAATGGCCTTTCACTACATTTCCCCCTTGGAATTGGATCACTTTAGGCCTAATTTCTCCACAGAATCTGATAAACTAGTAGTATACCTCTTATCAGCTAACAATGATCATCTTATGAAATAAAATTTGAATTTATCTTCAGGAAAAACTCTTGAACTAAAGTTTTCACAATTGTAAATCATGAGAATACAAACAGGGAACACAATTTAGAAATTAATTATGTAGCAGCAGATTTTCTACTTTAATAGAACTAGGGAAACTATGTAAATACAAAACAAAAACCCTCAAACCTTTTGCTTTGAAAGTTTGGTTTCTATGCTTTAGATATGAACTCATAAGATCACTGATTGTGATTTTATTAATATAGAGAAAAGCAAGAGAACTAGAAAACCAAGTCAGAATTAAGCAGACACTCACTGATTGGGTAAAATTTCCTTATTTAACTTCCTGATATCTTTGTTTTGGCATTCCTCATTAGCACCTCCATTTGAAAGTGGGGTCAGAAAGAAGCAGTGAAATATACTTTCTTTGAATCTGCTATTTATTAATAGCTCTAGTAAGCTGCCTTTTGCCAGAGAAATGAGAAAATAAGTACTGAGAATCAGAGTAACTTACAGATCTTAATTATCCATGTTGTTCCTAGTCTATACCTTATTACCAATGGGTAAATCAGAGTTAACTTGTAATGAAATCTGCTTATTACCACTTATGTTAAGTTGCCTTGTGCTTCAGAAAATTGAAAACGATCATTAAAATGAAGAGGTTTTTTTTGTTGTTGTTCTATTTTGTTTTTCTGGAGTTGAAGTCTCACTCTGTTGCCCAGGCTGGAGCGCAGAGGCATGCTCATGGCTACTATAGCCTTGACCTGCTGAGCGCAGGCCGTCCTTTCGCCCCAGTCTTCCAAGTAGCTGGAACCACAGGCATATGCCATCATGCCCAGCTAATTTTTTGATTTATTGTAGAGACGAGGTCTTGCCAAGTTGCCTGGACTGGTCTCAAACTCCTGGGCTCAGACAATTCTCTCGCCTCCACCTCCCAAAGTGCTGGGATTACAGGCGTGGACCTCTGTGCCTGGCCAAATTGAAGGGTCAATTATCTACATCATTCTTAGTCTAGTGCCTCATTACCATGGATATTACAGACATACCTGTATTGGGGTGAAATAAATAATCAATCTACTAACCCGAATCTTTAATTAATCCGAGGTTGTTTTTCACTGATGCTCAACTGTTACTACTTGGTCTGTTCTAATCATGCTCCAAGGTGCTTTACTTACACTGAGAGAGTACCCTATGCAGAAAAATTCAATAATTTGGACTTCCTATGCCAATTATACATTTTGGATTTTGCAAAGCTTATGGTTAAACATACTAAGCTTACCATAACCACTAAATAATAAGGACAAGCAAATCACAGAGAAATTCTGACAACAAAGCTTCTATAATTATAAGCAACCAAATACTCAAAGATAGCCTATTTAGCCTAAAAAATATATAAATTTTAGCACTCTTCCAAACCGCAGTAGGGAAAAACTAACAGGTAGATGTACTCAAATAACAAAATAATGTCTCTCACAACAACCTATATACTTTAAACAGTAAGTGGCTAAATTTTAGAAGCTGTCCAAGATTGTATCAGTAACGATATCTCTTCAGGTTGTAAAAACTTTTGTAGACTATTTTATCTTTCACTTTTAAACTATTTCAGCAATAGCTGTTTAAAGTGTGTGGTTCTTTTGCATTTCTTAAGAAGCTCAAAAATTGCACAAAATAATATAATTCAAGTAACTTACCGCTCACTTCCACCTAACCTCAGAGTCAGAAAAGAGAAACATTTATGATGATCTCTTGACTTATATTGCTTTTAGGAAAATTCAAGTAAATATAATAAATGTAGTCACTCAATCAGAGAATCGACTTCCAACAAGTCTCTCTTCCTTCTTCCTCAATCCTTCAGTAAATCATTCTCCCCATCCTAGCACAGCCCACCTGATAGGACAATCTCTTAACAAACATCCTGCATCAAAACAAGATAATGGATCTAACCATTTAGGGCTTTCACCTACTTAAAACTCTTAGGACAAGAAGGGAAATCCAACATACAAGTAAACACATTAAGAAATGCCCATCCATGAGCTCTTACTAGCAAGTGCTGCCAGTGCTTCTATATCCAATCTCCTGTGCTTGTGTAGTATTCAGGAAACAGTACCCCAATAACATGGCCACATGTATTGCTTACTGCTTTAAGTGAAACACTGCTGAATTTTATATTTTTAATGTTTGAAACATCTTCTTTTTTTAAAGATCATTTTCCCAAATCAAATCTGAGATTTTATTTTCTTTTCTCTTTGTAAAATGAAACTGTTTAACATAGCACTTAATGAAAATGAATTAAATCTCTTTATGCCAAAGTTTAAGATACCTTGGCTACTAAGCTACTCATAAAATGATATTGTGAATCATTATGTATCACCTCCCACCCTACCAGTATTATGACCAACAGTCCTTTAATGTACTTGGTCTCCCAGCTAACAGAAGCTTACATGCATGAAAAAGCAATTTGGTTTTTCATCATGATGATGATGATGAGACAATTATCTCACTCATTTAATTTTGCTGGTGCAATAATATTCTCACTTTAAGTCATTCAAGCTTACACCTTTAATGATAAGAATATACAAGTAAATATCATTTAAAAAATACTTTCAAAACTAAAGATCTACACTGAAAAATACTGCTTTCTCATTGCAGTGCAATCTTTGCAGGCCAGAATTCAAAGCAAGAACAATCATTTTGCAAAAGATAAACAGTTATATCACATAAATATTAGTTATTCCCTTGACATAATATCACATCCATTAAATAGTAAATGACTGTATATATTTAAAATAAATAGACCTAAATCAGAAAGGGACTACTGAATTTTATGGTTCACTTACCTGAACCTCGTTTGTCCTCTGTTTAATAGTATCTTCTTTCTCCTTAAGGTCCTGTTCCACATTATTCTTTTCCCTAGAAGACCAGCAAACAATACAAGAATATTTGAGAACATCAGCTACAGCCGGTATGGTTATCCATCCTCCTAATCCTGAATCGCTTTTTAAATACATAGTGAAACATCCAATTTTTAAATGAAGGGCAGATTTTTCTACCCTCTTTTAATTATTTATGAAATAGAAATCAATATAAGCTGTTTGAAAAAAATCGCTTTCTCACTAAAATGTGGAGAAAAGAGAATAGATTAAAAAAGGAAGAGAAGAAAAATAATCAATGAAACACTCAGGTTTCACTGATCTCACTGTTGCTATGGAAATACCATCCAATGAAAATTGCTGATAAAGAAAAGGAGGGGTTGCATCAGCTCTGTAAGCTTAACCCTTACATGTCAGTGTCAAATTAAATAAAAATGGCTAATAGAAACAGTCAACAATATTAAGGAAAAAGACATTTACTGAAGTGTTAATTTCCCCTTAAATCACTGGTATGCATCAATTTTAGAATGAAACAACATAGAAAAAATAAAAAAGACTGCTAATAGGTAATTTGCTCTATCAAATACCACATCTGCTCAAAAAAGCTATTTTAGGACCACATATCAAACCCAGTTGATCAAACATATAAAACAATATATATGAAGTAAAAAAAGAACCACAGTAGCATTTATCTTTTCTACTCTTCAAATCAAACTTGCAGCACTCCACTTTACTTTGAAACATCATTATCTAAATTCTTATATGCTTTGATCAGACCTGGGTTCCTATGAATGAATCTCAAGTAACCTTAGATTCAAAATTATAAAATATAGCTATTTCTTTTGATGTAACAAATTTAACTGCCCATTTGTACTAAAGCCACACACACAGAGCTCCCTTAAATTTCTTTTTTCTACAAAATGAGAGAAAAAGCCCATAGAATTCTGCAGCGATATATTTTTGGGGTGGGAGGAAAGGTAAAAGAAGGCAACATGGAGAAGGCAAGATAGCATTTAACAAGTCTTCCAGACTAGCACAGCAGAGTTTTTCCTTCAAGCTTCATGACTATATTTCAGTTTCCATCCCAGACATAACCTAAAATTTAAGCTCAGGCTCCATTTAGCTTTAGCATAAAGGAAAGTGAGAAAATTATACCAAAGCAGACGCCTAAGGGACAACCGAATGCTTCATTTATATTTCTCACCTTTTTGAGGTGAGATTTTAAATGTAGACAAAAATCAACTGTTTTGGATATGTAGGCACAATGTTCTTAAGATCTGTATGGAAGAAAGCATATGAATAAAGCTATTTGTATATTGTTACTTTTAAACACTTGAGATGGCCAAGGAGCTCACTAACCGTTTGTCAGATGGGTTGCAATGTGGGTCGCGATGTCTTGGAGATTTTAAACAGTCCCTTACCATGCGAATCGCAGCCCGTTTCTTCCATACCTCAATCTAATTATTATGCAAAAGTCATCCCCCACCTCCAGCCCTTATCAAATTAGGCAGAAAAGCACAGGGGAAAAAATTTTTTAAATACCCAGCAAATTCTGCAAGCTCAATTTTGGAAATGTTTTCTTTCCTCCTTAAGTGAGCAGATGAGTGTTTTCAGTCTTGCTGCAGCATGTTAGATATAAGTCACATGAAAATCTAGCCCCCTCCCCGCTTCCCAAATCCTCAGAGGCATTCCACACAAGGTCAGTATCAATTCAGATCCTGGTTTCCCACAGTAGATAATCATAAGAACAGAAAATATTACACAGTATCACAGATCAGCACTGCACAGACATTTGTTTTGAATTCTTTCTGCTATGCTGTTAAATGCTGTCACTGACAGTGTCTGCTCTGATCAAGTGTGCATGCAGGAAAATAGGGTTGCAAGAAAGCAATAAGCTGACTCAAAGTAGCCAAGACAGAAGAATGGGAGAGCAAAGGAAGGAAGCTCACATGGTAAAGATGGAAAACATTATTACAAAGAACTCTCAGCTTTAACCAGCAAATACATGCTTGGATAAAATGGAGGAAGCCTGAAGACTATACTTTTCTCTTCATAATTTGGGGCATGGGGGGAGGGGAGAAAGCAGTGGTGATGTCTCCAAACATATCCTGAAGACCATTCCCAATTGAATAAAATATGGAGATACTTAGGCATTAATTTCTCTTAGTATAAAGATCAATTAAATTCAACTTTAGATTCATGCTTATCTAATAATTCTTATTATCAAAACTAAGTATACATTGCAAAACTGAAAACTTCAAAAAATTAAATGTTCAATTATATCACTTTCCATTAAAAAATTATGACTGAAAACTGTCCTGTAAATCAGACTGAATACAAATAATTTTCTCATTGACTTAGGTTAGGATGTCAAAGATGTCAACATGCTAGTCTGTTGTCTTGCAATGGCTCTTAACCTCTGTAACATTCTTCTCATTTCAGGCAACTAATAATATCTAAACATACATTTAGGTGCACTAGGATGCCTGAACATATTTATTATATTCTCTTCTCTTACAAACAATACGTATATTTTTCTAAAGATGATGGATGCATAATCAATACAAACTATTCTATTTAACATTAGTAATTTCAAAATTTAATTCTCTTTTCAAGAATCTGTACCACAATAAAGTAATATTAACATGCAGTTTCCCAAGGAGCCCACCAATATAGGTGGATAAGACAGATGTAAGATATATTTCAAAACTAGGTATATAAGCATTTTGCCTAGACCACTACTCATCCTGGATGTCATGACAGGAAAAGCAATTGCTTTTATCTTAGAAGGTTTCTTTCTTGGAAACTTCATTTCCAGAGAAGGAAAATGAAATGATGTCACTCACTCTGTTTTAAACTATCTTTCTGGCCCTCTTCATTCCCACAAGTACCAAAGTTATACAGACCAGGAATAGAGCTCCTTAGTATTTCACAGGTTGACAGCTCTGATTTCATGGAATTTAGTATCTGAACCATCAAGAGAGGTGAGCCCAAGATAGGTTTTCAGAAGCCATGGGTCGATAAATGCATAGACCTAATATGAAGTAGTAAAAAGCTTTTCAAAAGGACAGTCGGGCTAAGGGACCTTGAGTTAATGTAATTCATTTCCATTTTCCCAGCCTCTGTGTATGGAAAGCAAGGAGTGAGCCATCTATCTGAATTTTGATATAATTCCAGTATCATCATGGAGACAGCATTTAATCACCTTCAAAGTCCTTCCCAGATACAAAGTTTTATGTCTTTTTTTCTGAACATAAGCATCCACTGTTTTTTAACAATAATAAAAACTAGAAACTAATAGAATCTAGAAAGTTATGAAAACTCAAAAACTGTATTTTTTGATCCTGAAACTTATTTATAAAAAATCCTTCTGAGGTACATTTAACCACTAAAATTGCTCTTATTATTAAGCAGGTTAACTGGCAGGGCACAGTGGCTCACACCTATAATCTCAGAACTTTGGGAGGCAGAGAAGAGTACATTTCTTGAGACCAGGAGTTCAAGATCAGTCTAGGCAACATAGTAAGACCTCGTCTCTACAAAAATAAAGCTAAAAATAAATAAGCTGGGTGTGGGTGACACATGCCTATAGTCCCAGTTACTAGGGATGCTGAGGTGGGAGGATAGCCTAAGCCCAGGAGGTTGAGGCTGCGTGAGCTATGAGACCCCAATTCTCATTCTCCCATCCATTCTCATTCTCTTCTTTCTTTCTTTCTCTCTCTCTCTCTCTCTCTCTCACACACACACACACACACCCCCACGGAGCTTAACTAACTGCCAAATCTCTCTTACAAACAAACAGAGAAAAGCATGCTACTCTCATTACACAGTCTTCAGTAAGGCAACTGGGTCTAATGGAGAGCAAGAAAATGAAAAACTGGAGATCTGGATTCCAATCTGACTCTGCTGAGAAATAGTTTTTCTGATCCTTACTAGGTCACTTAACCTTTCAGAACCCTAGTTTTATTTTTCAAATGCAGATACTAATTAATATCTCTACCATCTTAGAATTTGCAAGGTAAGATTTACAAGATGTCATGTAATTAATATTGAGCTTAAAAATTAACATTACTTGGAATTTTAAATAATGTTGATCAAGTAATTTTTAAATTTGTTAAAAGGAATGATGGGTTACAATAAAAGGCTAGAAAACATTGATCTAATGTATTTGTAGAATAAATAATGTAATCACTAAAATTTCTGCCCCAAAACCTTATATAAATGCCATTCATAATGATCTAACTGTGCTCTACTTTTAGAAACTCATTACAGGGTTTTCAAAGCATAGGCTTTGGAGAAAAATAGTCCAGAATTAAAATGCTAGCTCTATCACAGATCACCTTACATCACTGTAGTTAACAGCTACTTATTCGGGCTGGCTCTCCCTTCTTCTAGGGTCCAATAATTCTTCTTTTAGGAGGTTGCTTCTCTTTCTCCCTCACCTAAAGTCTTTTTACTCATAGAGTTCAAACAGAAGATGCCACCTTTTAATGGACTCTGTCTCACTGAGCAATGATTGGCTAAGAATTGGCTCCTGACTGAAACTTAACCAGTCACAGTTCCCCAACTTACAATCATAACAATTAATTCAAGAATGAGCTTGTGACTGAAGCCAATGCAGTCAGAATCTTTATCAAGGACACTTATATTTAGAGCCAATTAAAAAATACTATTACCAGTACTATATCTTCTACTAATAACAACATTATAGAAGCTAGCATTTATTATGCATTTACTACATAATGTTATATGATCTCATTCATTCTCAAGAAAAATCATTCCCGTGAAATGATGACATAGGCAAATGTGAGTCCAGCTGCTGCTGACAGCTATTGATCCTGCAAAAAGAATAATACAATTTTCATAGAAAATAGCTGAGGTGAAAGACAGGGAGAGAATGAGTCTAGGGAGGGCATAGGCCTTGGCTCCTGTCACCTCATGTCATAGTTAATTTTATGTATTAACTTGGCTAGGACATAGCACTCAGATATTTGGACAAACACGAGCCTAGATGTTGCTGTGAAAGTATTTTTTAGGTGA